TCCTGTTTGACACTGTAAAGCTGCTTTAACACAATCAGCATTGTATAAAGCGCTATACAAATAAAGGTGAATAATCACAGATTATGCAACAGCTGCTGTTATAACAGCAACGGTGACTGGAATTAAATTAGTTCACTTCCAGAATGAAAATTCTGGAAGTGAACTACTCCTTTAATAGAACGTTTTGCAGAATGCTGTTGTCATTCCATCAGCTACTTTTGTTTAAAGTCCCTATTATCAGACAACTTCAATTTCAACTGTTCCCCACACAAAGCCATCACATGCCTTCAGAAGAACTAAAAAGTGATTTTGCATCCTTTTTCAATCTCCATCACCATTGTCACTGCACAGAAACCACTGACCAAGACATTCCTCAGAATTTCTCCTTTTTGTATTCTGCAGAATAAAGTGCGACACAGGCTTGAAACAACATAAATGGTGACAGAATTTAAATTTTTAGGTGAACTATTCCTTAGATACACACATCCACATATAGACCACAAGTACTTTAGAGACCACCCATCTGGTATTTTCCCACAACGTTGACTGGAAGTCATATCTGTAATCAATCATGCAAACAAGGTCACCACATGTATATACGAGTGCTCCCATTGGGTGTGGGTGTTAGCAGAAGCATCAGCAAAAATCTTCACGCACTGTGCATGTTTAGATTTTGCTGGGCGCTTTAGGGACATTCAGTCTGTTTGTGAGCATCTCACTGTTGATTCAGACACAGATTATGTTTTTCCAGTTATATATACACATATATATTTTTATATGACTCATTTTTATCGGTTACTCTATTTACAGAACTCGTAAGTTACATTTCCAAAAGAGGGCAGTTTCCCAGATGATATCAAAGTAAGTAAAAGAAAATGCCCGCAAATGTCTTCCATTTAGAAGGTCTACATGGCTCAGTGATGCCACAATGACATCAGATTCCACTCGTCAGCACTCGATTGGCTAAGTGCTGTTGATTTCTGGCATCATGTGCTCAGATTAATTTAAATGTCTCGGGATTTTTGATGTGCAATAATGATTCACTAAATCAGTTACTTGAGCGAAGTAACTGACTTAATTGATTTTAAAGAACAATCTGAGGATGATGATCTTTATTTATTAACTAGGACTGATAAAGCTCAGAATTCGAGCAATTTAAATGTCTCGGGATTTTTGATGTGCAATAATGATTCACTAAGTCAGTTACTTGAGCGAAGTAACTGACTTAATTGATTTTAAAGAACAATCTGAGGATGATGATCTTTATTTATTAACTAGGACTGATAAAGCTCAGAATTCGAGCATGGGAGGCTGTGTTGGCTAGCTTTGCATTACCCATTTGGATCACATTCTGCCAATATCGGAGTTATATTCAAATAATTCTCATAAACAATTTATTTCCAATGTCACTGCAGGGTTTGTGGGATTGAGGGATGATCTTGACAAGAACCTCAACATCTCTGTGTCATGGCAACAGTATTTCCAGGTAGGCAAGAGAGACATATGAAAGACTCTCACTACTACAACAGTTAGTTTCCACTTGAAATGCTCTCCATTAGCAAAATGGAAAAATGCAGTGTTAACTGGGACGGGAGATAAGTGAAAATCAGTCGTGTTTTGAATCACTCCCACAGCAAGTCTGCATTGTGTTTACAATATCGCAAACAAAATCAACATAATCATCATATTTCTGTATGACACTTCAAGTCGTTTTTATACGAGGGAGCAGGTGACAAATGCAGGGGTGGAGTAATGTGTACAATAACACCTCTTTTATGGTTTCAAAAGTTAATTTCTCCCTTAAACATGGTTTCTGTGAAAAATAACTAACAATAATGAGGTCAGGGTTCAAGAACATGCTAAAAGCTGCTTACAAGTAAAATGCTTTTTCTGTTAGTATTTAACAACATTCATTTACAATAGTCAAAGCTCTCGTCCTATATCAGGTAGTGATTTGCTGTAATCAAAACGTGGACAGTGAAAGGTGAGGACTAGCCAATGAGATTACAATTTTGCACATTAGTCCCGCCCACTGCCGAGCTCTCAGAGGCTTTTGCTCGGTCTTGACCAGGTTTTATGCGAACGGCTACCATAATTGTAGGTTCTATTATTTTAATTCATGGCAAGAGTAAATAAATAAGCCAACAAAGTATAAAAAATAAAACTTTTGTGCTTATTTATAGACCTTCAATTGTTTCAGGAGGATGCTTTTTATTTGCTTTGAAAAGCATTTCTGAATGAAAGTAAAAATGAATGAAATGAAAGTATGTACTTAGTATGACTTAAAAAAAGTGACTCAGATTCTGTGATATTTGTTAGTATGACCCCTTAATGGATACCCAGAAGGTGTGGGCGATTGCAGGAATACTCCCCAGCTATCTACCTCTGACCTTTAAGAAGGGTACAAATTAAAGATGAGAACATTTAAGTGGGTGGGGGGCTTTTATAGCTATTCTCCACTGGATTGTTTTTCAGGATTAACCTCAGTTCACCTCAGTTCTCAAAATCAATAGCAGCCAGAAGAAAAGTCTCCATATGGAAATTGCGTCATTCATTGTTTGTGAACAATCATGCACTTTGTACATTAGAATTATAAAAGAAGATTGCTATATGACTCAATGAATGTTGGGAAATCTAGGAGTTGTGCGTGGGCTTCTAAATTCAAAAATCCCTTTGTGGCACTTATTAACCATTTTTGCTCAATAGAAACGGACAAAATCATACAAGAGCATAACAGTTTATATAGCTCAGCCATGGAAAATGTCACACATCAGCATATTACTCAAACTCAAAATAATTGCCTCAAGCAGCTTCATGTGCTATGTAAGGGAACAGGGCTATAAATATTTGAAATCATGTGTTGCAAGATGTTAAAACATGTTACAAAAAAGCAAACCTTTTGAAGTCAGGCACTCACTTGATTTCTCCTGCCATCACGATTCTTACACAGATGATGCCAGCAGAACCACATGGTCTGTAGATGAAAGTGATGATTATACTGAACAGAAAAAAAGAAACTGATTTGAGCTATATAGTTGACTGTACATGTAAAAAAGGAGTCATGTTTTAACCTTTGTTTGATATTTGCAGTCTCACTAAAGGAACACTGAAAACTGAAGTAAACATATTGACCTACAAACTCAATTCCAAAAAAGTTGGGACACTGTACAAATTGTGAGTAAAAAAGGAATGGAATAATTTACAAATCTCATAAACTTATATTTTATTCACAATAGAATATAGATAACATATCAAATATTGAAAGTGAGACATTTTGAAATGTCATGCCAAATATTGGCTCATTTTGGATTTCATGAGAGCTACACATTCCAAAAAAGTTGGGACAGGTAGCAATAAGAGGCTGGAAAAGTTAAATGTACATATAAGGAACAGCTGGAGGACCAATTTGCAACTTATTAGGTCAATTTGCAACATGATTGGGTATAAAAAGAGCCTCTCAGAGTGGCAGTGTCTCTCAGAAGTCAAGATGGGCAGAGGATCACCAATTCCCCCAATGCTGCGGCGAAAAATAGTGGAGCAATATCAGAAAAGAGTTTCTCAGAGAAAAATTGCAAAGAGTTTGAAGTTATCATCATCTACAGTGCATAATATCATCCAAAGATTCAGAGAATCTGGAACAATCTCTGTTGCATGAGTGCGTGTGGCATGGGCCGCTTACACATCTGGAAAGGCACCATCAATGCTGAAAGGTATATCCAAGTTCTAGAACAACATATGCTCCCATCCAGACGTCGTCTCTTTCAGGGAAGACCTTGCATTTTCCAACATGACAATGCCAGCCCACATACTGCATCGATTACAACATCATGGCTGCGTAGAAGAAGGATCCGGGTACTGAAATGGCCAGCCTGCAGTCCAGATCTTTCACCCATAGAAAACATTTGGCACATCATAAAGAGCAAGATGCGGCAAAGAAGACCTAAGACAGTTGAGCAACTAGAAGCCTGTATTAGACAAGAATAGGACAACATTCCTATTCCTAAACTTGAGCAACTTGTCTCCTCAGTCCCCAGACGTTTGCAGACTGTTATAAAAAGAAGAGGGGATGCCACACAGGGGTAAACATGGCCTTGTCCCAACTTTTTTGAGATGTGTTGGATGCCATGAAATCTAAAATCAACTTATTTTTCCCTTAAAATTATACATTTTCTCAGTTTAAACATTTGATATGTCATCTATGTTGTATTCTGAACAAAATATTGAAATTTGAAACTTCCACATCATTGCATTCTGTTTTTATTCACAATTTGTACAGTGTCCCAACTTTTTTGGAATCGGGTTTGTACATAGGAACAGATTTTACTGCTAAATTGTAACACATTTAGAGATTACTTTGGGGTGTACATAATGAGGAGGATGTCATCTTAGTTTGGCAGAATATGTAAAATGAATCTGAATTACACAATATAATTCTACAAATTGTTTACAGGTCTGTATTTTTAGTTGAAGGGATGTCATAATAGCAGTAGACTAGGAATTCAGTCAATCTGTCCAAAATGAGTTTGGACAATTGGACTTTAGGTTATGATGAATAATGAAGATGTTTGAAATGTACACCTAATTCATGGAATTATTAAACAATAGCTCCATGAATTATAATAATTATTTAAAAAACATCATGACCTCTGGCCTAAATCTGAGGTGTGTCTGACCCTATAGATCTAACTTTTCATTTCAAAACAAAACAATACTTGTTTCCATACAACTGAAATTGGTCACTGTGTCCACAATTGACCTAGTAACAAATATGAAAAATGTTAGCATCCACAGTGCCTCAAATACAACTTAATACTTTTTCACAAAAGTCCTCAGTGAATTCATGAAATGTAACGTAAATTTTATTCAACTGAAACTCGCTATTTTCACTAGTGCTTTCTAGTTTTGTGTGCAGTATGAACCAGACGGTCAGGAAACTGGTGCATGAAATACAATGAAATAATAATAATAATAATGATGAAATTACATATTATAGGAAAAGTAACTTTTATTGAAATCTTTCACAGAATTAGTTGTGAATATGGTGCACCATGCATACTGCACAATGCATACAATGTGAGATTAAGACACCATTACGACGTCAGCCTCTATGTGTGCGCACCAGTATGCTGGTCACAGAAACAAGACTCATCGCCATATGTACCAATACAATAGCAGCCTCCTCATGACAACCATTCTGTACATCTAATATTTACATCGTTTTGTACCAACACACCTCGGATAAAGACAGCTTTGGGATGGTGGAAGTGGGGAGGGAGCTAAAAGTAGATATCCCAAAAGTCATTTGAGATATAATCACAGATGATCTATTGCTCTTGTCTTCAAGTTCAGGTCATTGCCTATAAAAACAGACTCATTCATAAACACACACACATCATTTTATTGGTCTTTTACTGACTGACATGGCATTTTGTACTCTTTTACCCAACTCCAATAATAATAATAATATATTAGATTACCACGCTCAACACCCACACACTCAAACATGTGCACTTATTCATCACTGAACCGTTTGCTCAACTTGTTTTAGCCTGTGCTACACAAATGGCAGTGATTAATTACTGCCCAGTACGGCTGTTAGATCCAACAGGCATTATTGCTCATCTGATCATATTTGTTCCCTTCCTCTGTGACTCACGTAAACTGACCCTAAACCATCAAGCTGAGAGAGAGGTTCGTTCAAATAAATGAACCAAAACTTAAACTCTACCAGTCAGACAAGTTGTGTCAAGTCCACACAACAAGGCATGGCACCATTGAACTGATGCCCGGTGCTAAGTCATGAAGGAAAAGCGGATTGAGGAGAACATTTCTGAAAAATAAATAAAACAAGTACAGTTCCATACACCATGAAATGGTCTTCAAAATCCACTTTACCGTTGTAATATTGTGACAAGAATTAGTCAGGCTCTCTCCATCTGAGACTGACACACAGATCCTCTGGCCTGATAAAAACAAATCATCCCTTCTTGCAATTTGCTTCGGCAAGGAAGTGTCTGCCAAAATAAATGCAATTGAATGCAGAAGTCATTCAGCAGCCATGTGCCATTTAGTATTATATATTTCCATTGCATAATACACAGGCCTGCTCTGTACGCCAGGTCCAGTGTAACGGTGCCCCCTAAAGTCCTGCACATGTAATAGCATGTAAGAAGCGACACTAAAACCGTGTGAACACACAAAGAAAAAAACAAAACGATATCCATCCCGAGTTTGATGAAAACTAATGTCCCCTCTGTCCATTTAAAACAGCATTTACAAAGGGAAAGTGTGAATGGATGTAACTGCAAGTATGCTAATAATGTTAATAAGCAGATGCATTTGATTGATCTATCCATTTGTGATGAAACATCATGCATGTCTCACAGTCACATCATTGTCTAGTCACACATTAGTGAAATGGTCTCTGCATCTCTTCTCCTTCTTCAAAACAAGACAACATGTTTCAGCTGTGAGTTGGCCAAGGCCTTCAACAAGGCAGGATGTTTAACTTGGCTTTTCAGTTAGATGCACTGCTCATGTTCCTCATTCATTACTTTGTCTTCTGGCTCTGGAGTGCTTGTGTGAGTGTTTGCATTATGTCCAATGGGAATACCGTGTCCTTTGTTCATCAGCCTAAAATGAAAACATATATCAGGGGTCAACATATCCACAGGTCCACAATCTGCCCAGCGTCGGGCCAGCACTGACGTAGCAGCCCAGTTTCTGTGATGGAACATCAGTTACACCTTATACAAATTACCAGGACCGGTTAAAGCAAGTTGTCCATTGCCCATGTCACTAACGTCATCTTCTAAAAGCCCTGATACATCTGCGTTCGGAATGCAGTCATGATAGCTGCTGAAGCTAATGTTGTCCTCCTTCAGCTCGATGGTCCAGAATGGGGCGTTCAGCTTGCGGTTCTGATATTCTCTGTAAGTGTACACACCACCTACCACTGCCAAGAGAGCAATAACAACTATGATGATCACGGCCAGGACAATGATGTTGAACTGGTTCCACGGGACCGGAGTCACTGTGGTGGTGGTGTTGGGGGTGGAGCTGCCCAGGCTGCTCAGCAAACTTGTGGAGAAAGTGGTGAATTGTGCTGTAGCATTGGGGCTGGAGGTCATGGTGGTGTAGTGAAACCAGTGGGTAGTGGTTGAAGGAGTAGTGTGGACGACTATGGACAGGGCAAGAGAGAGAGAAGGACAGTTTGAGACAATACACATCTAATAAAATACAACATATCCAAATGAATTAAATTATGCATTAAACTCCAGTGACCTTCCAGTGATATTCCTGTACCTCTGCTGAATGTAAGTTGTGAATGTGAGTTTACAGTGTTTATTGAATGCAATGAGAAAAAAGACTGTGTACCATGACATAGTAAGAAAATTAGATGTGTTTGTGGGCTGCATGCAGAAAACTAAATTCTAGTTTGAATTTCTAAAATTCTAGTTAAAATTAAAAATTCTAGTCTGATTTATAAACAAATTACTTTGTTCTTTTAATGAATCATTAAAAAAAAAACAATCAAACAAAAAAAACCTAGCAAGTTACTTTTTTGAATAAGTCTAACTAAACTTCTGACTCACTTACCGAACTGACAGTTCCCTTCCATGGGAACTTCTAACTGTGTCCTCTCTCTAGGGGTCGCTATGGGAAATGCCTCGTCGTGACCCGTGTCTGAAGCATACATTGAAAAAACACCAACTCGTTGGCCGGTGACAGCCATGACGTCACTACCGGTGCGACTATAGTATAAATAGGTGCCGGGAGAACACATCATTCTCTTCTTCGTCTTCATTTACTGTTTTGTTTGAAGCGTGCATTTCTGTGGTAAGAGCAATCTCTATTCATCTCATTATGGCGAGCACTAGCAAAGCGTTTAAGGATGTGTGCGTCCGTGATGACGTTGTTTAACATCTGACGACACACACGATCTATGCGTTATTTGTTTGGGCGAAGAGCACGCATGCGATGCCTCCGAGGGGGCAATCGGCGTGCACTGCGAGCGTTTTTTCCAAGGGAAAAGCTCTGCTCTCGTTTATCTCTCTTTTCGAGGAAAGAGGGCAGCCTTCTGCTTCCCGCGATTCAGGACCCGCCGCTGCTGAGGCACGGAAGGGAATGACCTCATGGGGATCACAGGTGGATCTGGCCGATGAGTTTGAAGAGGGGTTTTCTCTTTTGCGATTGTCGGTTGTGCACTAGAGTGAGCCGCTGGAGGATGATGTTATTTCATTAACACTGTCTGATTCAGGGGCCAGTGCTCTGCTGGGATCAGCCCAGCAAAAGCAGGAAATGTTTGAGGAGGGCAAAGAAGCTGAGGCTGAGCCTTCCCAATCCTTTTGCCCTGCGTATGATGAGCTTTTGGAAATTATGGATAGTGCCACGGCGAGGCTTTACTTGCCGTGAAGCGGGAGAAGAAAGTGACGTCGCGAAGTATCTCGATGAATGTTATTTTTCTGGCCATAACCCTCCAGCTCAGGTGAGCCTTCCTTTCTTCCTGTTTTCCATATATAGATTGAGAAGGAATGGAAGAGGCCGTTTTTTACCTCTAAGACTCCCCTCCTTGACATCTTGCTCGTATGCCAGGGCATACGCAGCAGCAGCAGGTCGGGCTGTCGCTTCATTGCACACGATGGTGATGCTCAAAGCATATCAAGCTGACCTGCTGAAAGACTGGGATAGCGGCCTCACGAAGTCCAGGTCTGAGCCCGAACAACCCAGGGGTCCTAGCCCGTCTCGGTTTGAGGATCAGAGACTGGCTCAGAAGGCTAGTGGGTAGGGGTAGGAAGAATCGCGGGTCAAAAGAAAGGTAGGTAAAAGACCTAAGGGATGTGATCCAGACA